AGTGTCTTGAGAGACTAAAATAAAGGAAGTACATTACTCACTCCCAGAGTAATTTTCATGTATCCATGAATGATAAAATCCGAGCTACTGAACTGAATTGTGGTATATCTTCAGTGAGCACCAACGTGAATATACCAAGTGAGGAGATATTTTCAGCATTTTAAATAGTAATAAATGGAGGTACTTATGGTGACATAAGCCTGTAATCCCATATCTTGGGGTGAAACAGAAGGATCAAGAGTTTTAGGCCAGCTTAGGCTCCACAACAAAATCTTCTCAAAAATAAATGAATTAATGAAATTAAAATACAAGAAGGCAGAGGATTAGACAGTTAATAAATCTAAGAGACAAACTACAAATGAGAGAAAATCTTGCCAGCTACTCATCTGACAGAAGATAAAAACCACACATACAACAAACCCTAAACAATAAAATCAATCAATCAAAAAATGGGTTTGGGCACAGAGAATTATTAAAAGAAAAAATGCAAATGGCCAATAAAGAAGAAATGAACATCCTTAGTCATCAGTGAAATTAAGTTAAACTGATTTGAGACTTCATCACATCCCATTCAGAACAGCTATCCTCAAGAAATCAAATGATAACAAATGCTGATGAGGATGTTGAAAAACAGGATTTTATTCACCATTGCTGTAAGCATAGACTGATGTGACACCTAAGATAATAAGTGTAAAATGGCCTCATAAACCTAAGAGAGGTAGTGTTATGTGGCCTAACTCTGTAATTTCTTGCTATATATTTGAAGTACTCTATATTTTATTACAGAAATACTAACTCAATCCTGTTTATTGCTGCTCTGTTCAAAATTCTTTGGGAATGAAGACATTCTATGTGTTATCAACAAAAAAATGAATAAGAACTTGGTGTAGATGTATACCTATCTAATAGATAGATAGATAGATAGATAGATAGATAGATAGATAGATATAGACAGAAATAGATAGACAGACACATAGACAGATGAGTATTGCTCAGAAATATAAAACTATGGAATTGGTATGAAAATGGACACAACTGAAAAATACTATAGTGAGATATTCAGACTTGGAGAGACAAATACATGCAAATCCTCGCTTCTAATTTTTATGTATTCACATGCATATGAGTGTGTGTAGACATCACACAACTAGAAAGCAGCCAATGAGAGGAGAAATTGAAGCATTAAGACAGATGAGTGGGAGGTAACAGAACCCATGATATGGAAGTGGAAGCAGGGATACTGGGAGCAAGAAGGACTGAGTGGGAATGGGGAACCGGGAGCTGCCAGAGAGGATAAGATGGGAGAAGAGACAACGAGAAGAAAATATGTATGAGCCTGACAGAAACCTGCGACTTTCTAGGCTGTTTTTAAAAACTAAAAAACAGGAAGGTTTTATTTACAGCTCTTAAAATCAAGGAAGCTAGAGTGTTGTAGTGGTGATGGTGGTCTTTATAGCACGGCATGTGGTGAGTGTCATGGCCATATATTTGTTTCCAACATTGTTACATAACCATCAGCATGTGAGAAGAGAAAAGTGGAAAATGTTTCAAATGAACCAATAGTTTGCCTTTCTCGTCAGGACTACTTCTTTTCAAAATGTGAAAATACCTTCCCAATCAAGCAAGCTCTTGCTGCTCTTGCTATTAATTCCCATTGCATACAGAATAGAAACAGAATTTCTCCACTGTGGGGTCTGAGCTGACATTTTGTGACCCAGTATGTTTGTGTGCAGGCTGCAGGTGCCTGGGGAGCACCGTGTGCTCACTCCACAGAGGTAGACAGCAGAGTCACTGGGCTGGGAGTCTCTGATATGCAGGGCAAAATGCAGGCTGGCTTTATTGAGGTGAACTGTGAATCTGCCTTCTTCCTTGTCACCATTGGAGAAGATGGACATCAGCGCCTTGGGGCCTTGCCCAGAAAGCTGTCTGTACCACCAGAAGTACTGAGAATTACGATCACTGAAAGTGCAGTTGAGAGAAGCCATGGCTCCCTCTGGGACACTGAGGAATTCTGGGATCTGCTCCACCTTCAGCTGGCTGCTCACCCCTGTGCAGAAAGACAAAGGTCAGACAAACAGACCTGGAGGCATATGGATGCTAACACAGCAGAATGCTGTTTCAATAGCCCGCCCACCCCTAACCAGAGATTAAAAACAAATGTGTTTTCTACCATTAGCCTGAAACAGGCAACAACTTTATATACCACACATGGATCCCAAAGAAATTCCCAGACTTACAGCTTAATTGAAGCCACAGGACCACTAGTGAAACACTCAAGGATTTCATCTCTCCTCCCTCTTCACTTAGGATTAGGATTCTCAACTCTAAACTCGTATGGTCACATTCAAAAGTTTCCACATCTCCTGCTTCAGGAAACATGAAAAGTAGCTTTGCGAGCAATGAGAAAAGGGACTCTCTTCACCACCTCTGCACCACCAAGACTTTCCTCCACCCTTTCTCCACCCCTCCCTCTACTTCCTGCCCTCCCTTTCTCCCACTTGAGAACTCTACTTAGGATCCCTAAGAAGACACTGCCATCTTGTGGACTTATGATAGTGACCAAAGAAATCAAACTGCAAACTCTTCTAATGTAATTATTAAAAGTAAAGTTCTTGAGAGTTCAATTGGCGTTTTAAAGAAACATTTGCCACATGAATGTGGGTGGGGAGTGAGATTGTGTATGTGTGTGTGTGTGTGTGTGTGTGTGTATACACTCTGCATATGTTGTCCTCTTTCTCAGTAATAATGAGTATCTCACACAGGCATTCACCTGCACTGGAAAACCACCTAGAAATGCCAGCCACAGAAATCTGAGTGAGGCTTTTTCACACAGCATAAATCTAACCCTTGTCACTCCCATTCAAATACATCTACAAGCTTTACAGATGGCCTGGACAGACTGTTTATCTAGGTTAGAGTCTAGAAAGGCCTGGATTTATTCATTTTATTTGGAGCCAGGAGTATGCTTGTGTGCTTGGTGCAAAAAAAGATGGAACTGTGTCTAGCAACTCAACAATAAATAAAACTTGGGGAACTTGTTATTTTCTCTAATTTTTTATTCTCTCTTCTTGAATAAAGTCCTTTGAGTAGGGATTGATCATGAAAGTTGTAGATCTGGTTTATCTCCCCTTTCCTCTTTCTGACTCTGCCTTTCCTCTCCACTCTTCCCCTTTCTTCCTTATCTCTCTTCTTCCCTAACACTTCTACTTTCTCCCAATCTCCATTCCTATCACAGGCATGAAGCCAAATGTACCAGAGAAATGTCTGTGCCAGAGCTGAACTGGGTCCACATAGAACAAGGCAGGAAACAACTGTCCTGCAGGAGTCTGTGAGAGCTCCACAGCCAGCAGAGTAAAGATCTGTGGAGGCAAGAAGGCAGTTGGATCAACACAGCCAAGGAGTTTGTTCGTGCTTAGGTCCTCTGACACTGAGTAGTGTATTTTCAGGACAGTTGATTTTTGACAAAGGAGCCAAAACCATAAAATGAAATAAAGAAAGCATTTTCTTCTTTTTTTTCATTTTTTTATAGTTACAGTTTGTTCACTTTGTATCCCAGCTGTAGCTCCCTCCTCATCCCCTCCCAATCTCACCCTCCCTCCCTCTTCTTCTCCTATACCCCTTCCCCAATCCAATGATAGGGGAGGTCCTCCTCCCCTGCTATCTGACCCTAGCCTAATCAGGTCTCTTTAGGACAGTCTAGATCCTTTTTATCTTTGGCCTAGTAAGGCAACCTCTCCAGGGAGAGATGACCAAAGAGCAGGCAACTGAGTTCATGCTAGTGACTACCCCTGCTTCCCTTACTAGTGAACCCCTGTGGAGACTGAGCTGTCCATGATTTACATATGAGCAGGGGTTTAGGTCCTCTCCATGCATGGCCCTTGGTTGATTCATCAATCTCTGTAGGCCCTCCTGTGCTCAGATTTTTTTGCTCATTGATTTCTTTAATGAATGTATTCATGTTTTCGTTCAAGACCTCTAACATATTCATAAAGGCTAATTTGAAATTCTTGTCTTGTGCATCAGCTATCTTGTGTTTCTTCGGACTTACTGAAGTAGGGTTTCTGGGCTTTAGTGAAAACATATCATTCTCAATGTTATTGTTTTCATGCTGGAATCTAGGCATCTGGGTTTGAGATCATTGTAATTCTCTGTGCTGGTGTGTGTTCTTGCCTTTGTCAGAGGTGTGCTCTCTTCCTTGTTTTCTATTCTTCTCCTTGGGTCTGAGAAGAGGGTCATGGCTGTGGGGTTTCTGCTAGGAGTGCTTCTGAGATCCTGCCACATATGAACACTGGATTTGAGAGAGAATGTGCTTCTTTCCATTTGGGTGCTGACACTTAGGCATAGGAGAGGGCTAAAAGAGGTGGAGGGTGAGGAGATCCTGGTAGGGAAGTAATCAGGGAGTGCCAGCAGGATGAGTATAGTGCTCTGGGAATGAGGATAAGAATGGATGAGGACCACAGCAGAGAGTCTACTACAGGGCTGAGGATGAGACTGGGGGTTGGGTTTATAAGAGATGGGGGACATGGAAAATCAGAAGATCACCTGCCTGCTCTGGCTTCCTTTCTCCTGTCTTTTCTACCTATGTATCTTTATTACAAATCTTAAGGTATGGAAAGGCTGTAGACCTCTGATAACCTGTCCTTCCAAAGTATTAGATAGAATTTATGTAGATGACACCTTTCCCGGCATTTGTTGCCCTGTGTGAATAACTTGGCCTGGAGGTGACATGCAAGAATAGGAAGAGAATGACCTCTATATGGAGATGAAGACAACTGACCACTTCGCTGTATCCATAGCTTTTCTGTGAAATCAATGTAACCCTCCACGAGGAACCACTGATGTCCCTGATGAAAATCCAGCTGTGAAAACATCTTCTTCTTTGCTGTGACCATTTGTACAACTTTCATCAACCAGAGAAATTTTGGTACACAAAACACAGACTGTGTAGAAAAGGGTGACCTAAAAGGCAGATGATCAGAAGTCAGGCTTTCTTTTGCTTCTCAGGGTTTGTGCTCAGCTCCCCCTGCAGTGTCTGCCACTGTGTCCCTCAGAGCACAGTAGTACACAGCGAAGTCTGACTCTTGCACCAAGGATTTCTGCAAGTGGAAGGAGGTGGTTCCTTTATCATATGTGGCTTCAAACCCTCTGCTGCTTCCCTTCTCGCCAGCTGTGATGACTTTCAGGAGGAGCTGTGGACCTTCTCCAGGATATTGGACATACCAGAAAAGAGTTGGGTACCCTGTGGCTGAATATGTGCAGTTTATAAATAGAACACTGTCTTCTGAGAGGGTCACTTGACTTTGTTTCTGGGTCACTGACTCTCCATGGATCCTTCCTGGAGGAAGAACAGGATATCTGTGTAACATTAATAACAAAGCTCATGAATGATTAATTATTTTTCTGATGTCATAGAAGAAAGAGTGCAAATCTGAAGTCACTTAACTTACCAAGCACGAGCAGCAACACAGTCACTAAAACTGGAGAAGTGTTCATCTTCAGGGTCACCCAGCTACTGTTCTTGACTTTTCACAGGAAGAAATGATGAAATGACATCAAATGATGAACCTGCAAATCTTATAATTCACATGCATAGTGATATCCTGTTGGGAAACTCCACCCCCTTGTGGACAGAGATTAAAGCAGGGTCTGCAATCCTCCCAGAGTCAGAAATGTGTTCTCACCATCTACATCCATTGTAGGGCACATGTGAGACTTCCAGAGGCTCTTGACAATGTAAAGAACATAAACAGTGGCCATTAACATATTGACTGTCATCATTCTTAGGAGTATACCTGAATTGAAAGTATTATAGAAGAGCCACTGATGAATTTTCAATTTTGGTCTTTACCATATGATAAATTGAATAGCAAGAAGGATGTTTTAACAGTTTAGTTTTATCGGTCCAAATTTGTAGAGATGCTATGCGGGTGTGGATGATGGCTCAGCACTGGAGAGCATTTTTGCTCTTACAGGGATCCCAGAACACACACAGTGGTTCAGAATCATCTCTAACTCCTGCTCCAGGGAACTGACTCAATCTCATGACCACTGAATGCACCAGGCACTCATGGTATAAAAACACAAACACAAGAAAAGTACTTATGCACATCAGATACAATGAATACATTTTTTAATTTTTAAAGATAATATGAAGTTAAGTTACTTTAAATTGGCCCAGAGAATGTGTAATCACTACTATTTGCTCTTTTTATCTTCAGAAATTTTTAAATAATCGGTTTGTGCTGCCCATTTACTTGGGAGTTCAATGAAACAATGTTTGAGGATTAACTACACAGGACAACCACAAGAAAGGAAGCAATTGTGACTGACATGCAGGGTTCATGTGTTATACCACACTATGTGTCAAATATAGGCCATGACCTTTTCTTAGCTCTTTTCTCTAAATGGCTTTGTGACCAGTGGTGGCCGTTGTTAGGAAACATGAAGCTGACTATCATTTGCGGCTCTTTTTTAAGGACCTGCAGACAGCATCCCAAACAGCCAGCTCAGAAATGTGTCTTCAGAACAGCCTCTTCTTCAAGTTCAAAGCTTCCACTCATGAGTCTGGCTTTCATGGCTGCCATGTGTCTATGGAAGCTCCTTCTATCATTTAATTTCATCTCAGTAATTTTTCCCCATTGACAGAATTAGTCTCCTCACAAAACTGTTCTTTCTCACCTTTGTGCACATCTTTTTCTTAATTCTTGTTGTTTTGAAGTTACAAATGCAATCCTTAAGTGACAGCCTGTGGCTCAGAACCTTTGTCTCTTACAGTTCAAGATAATGAATATCAAGCCCTTCTAGGTTTTCCTCATTAGCAACATCTGCAGTTGCTTCAGAACGTGCTCCTCATGCTGTACTTCTATATGTGATGGGAATCACCTATTAAAACAGCATTTTCTTTCCTGTTTCCTTTTTATTTTTACATTTTCATAGCTATAGGCTTTTATATAGGTTGACATGCTGGGAATGTACCACATTCACAGAGCAAGTCTCAAATCCAATGAGAAAGTAGTTATTTGCCCCTAAAAAACAATCGTATCACCAGTGAACATGTCTTTATAATTAAGTTGGTCATTTAGCACACAGGATCCACAGAGAGTAACACCAATGATGATGTATCTCCCCTAACTAGAAGAGAACACTCTAGGTCAATTCTGATTTGATTTTTCTGTATGTTACATCACCATTCAAACTGTATCAATTAGATATGTTACATAACCAAGACCAAGAAAAGTATCAAATATTGTGTGAAGACCTGTGGGACTTTCCTGGAAAATAACTCATATGGAGATATCACACACATGGCTCTGAGTACATGACTGCGTTTCCATACCAGGCATGGTATCCCTCCTCTTGAGCAGATCATAAGTTCAATTAGGGTGTGTGAGCCACTACTGCTCCCAGGGGATTATTGTGGCATGCTGGACATTGATCCAGATAATGACAGCAAATACTCTTTACTACATTATAAAATATAACCCTTGAAGAGAAGAAAAATTGATTCATGCTGCTAAACTAATGGCTCCCTCTTGGATATGCCAAATTACAAAAATGTGCAATGATAGGATAAACACTTTGATGTCTAAAAGTTTCATGTATTATAGTGACAGTGGGGTGCTGAAGTCTCCCACTATTTATGGGTGGGGGTCTATGTGGGGTTTAAGTTTTATTAAAGTTTCTTTTACAAATGGGGGTGCCCTTGTATTTGGGGCATAGATGTTCAGTATTGTGATATCTTCCTGGTGGATTTTTCCCTTGATGAGTATGAAGTTTCCTTCTCTATCTCTTTTGATTAATTTTGGTTGAAAACCTACTTTATTAGATATTAGAATGGCTACTCCTGCTTGCTTCTTGGGTCCATTTGCTTGGAAAACCATCTTCCAGCCCTTTATTCTCAGGTAATGTCTATCTTTGTGATTTAGGTGTGTTTCTTGTATGCAACAGATTGTTGGGTCTTGTTTATGCATCCATTCTGTTAGTCTGTGTCTTTTTATTGGAGAATTGAGTCCATTGATATTGAGGGAGATTAATGACCGGTGTCTGTTAGATCCTTTGATATTGATGTTGGCCATGGTAGTCTGTTTGTGTGTTTGGCTACTTTTTGTTTTGCTGTAGTGACAAGCCCCAAAGACCAATCTATGAGCATCCCACTCCCCCACAGGCCAGAAATCCACAAGTGTTCAAAATACAAGGAATAAGTGTCTCTACGATGCAAAATCCAACTGAAATATCTGCAATTCAATCCCTCCACCTAAGACTCAAGGAGGTCACAGAGGAGGTGGCAGAAAGATTTCAAGAGGCAGAGGACTATAGTCCCTGCTGCTACATACATTCCCCCAGAAATGACAAGGAAATGCAATCACGCATCTCAAAAATATGGTAGTTTGAGCAAAACTAACATCATGAAAACATCAGTTGGCATGCCAACATGGGTAAGGGAGAGACCACATGCTTCAGCTCCTACATGAAGACGTTCAGGTTGTAAAAGCTGCAGACAGAGGAAGGATCAGGTTCCTCCAGGGACAAGCTCCCACACAGATTTTCCAATCCCACCTTCTCAGTCCTGAATACATGTCCATATATCCATAGACAAAATTAAATGGAATCAGTAGCTTGCATGGCTGCAAATGTGTGTGTGTGTGTGTGTGTGTGTGTGTGTGTGTGTGTGTGTGTTGAGAAAGAATGTAGAATGGGAATCCTTAGAGAAAGAGAAGACTGGCAGAAGTGGAATTAGAACAAGGTGTGTTAATGAGTTTGATAAGAACAAACAATGATACATTGGATGAAATGTTATAAAGAAACACATTATTGTGCCCACTGAGTAAAAAATATAAGATTTGCTTAGTAACTTCAATCTCTTCCCCTGAGAGAATTCTACTAAACAGATCATTTAAAGGGACGCAGGCAAGCACAGGACGGCAGGCTCTAAATAGCAGCACAGAAAACCTGCTGTGAGAGGCTTGTTGTGGCACTGGGCAAGTTATTCATTTTCACACACACACACACACACACACACACACAATTTCTCTTTCTGCAAATAATGTTGTACACTTTTGGTGTGGTTTACTAAGCACTGGCAGCCATCATTTTGTCTAGTGAACTTTACAGCAGATATTTCCAATAATCAACTGCAGTTATGAGCAAAATGAAGCTCAAATATTACACAGCAGTCTGCCCAATTTGCCACAGCTAGTAAGTGGTAGATCTGGAGCTTCAAGCCAAGTCCTAGTCCCCAGGACGTTGCAGTGTTGTTCCAGGAGGGAACATTCAACAGCTTTGGCATGTCCACTAAGTACTAAACAAGAAAACACATGGAATTCACCCAGTACCTTTTGTCACACAGTGGGTCTGCTTCTCCTGTACTCCATAAAGACCAGCTGCACACTCTGAGGTTGCAGTGTCTCCCACCCAACAAAGCTCATGGAGTTTTCCGAGGTCTACTGACAGAGCATCCTAATGACGGCTCTCATGGCTTCTCACAGGCATCCGTGGTCTGTCACATGTCTTACTGCCAATGGGAACACTGTGTGTTATGTTGGGAGGGTGGAAGGCAGAGTGGAGGATAGCCAGAGCTCACTGTGCCATGTTCCCTACAGCAGCTTCTTCCCATCAGTGACTCGTTTCCACATCTCAGGATGTTTCTGCAGTTTGAAAAGGACAAAATATAGACCCAAGTTTCACTTAGAAAAAAAAAAATTCCACCTTATCAACAAGGCTGAGGCTTGTATCTTGGGCAGTCTTCTGTTCTCCAGCCCAGAACACCCTTGAATCATATTTGACATTCCTGCACGAACCACTGTCACATCTGACACCTGTAGATCAAACACCACAGTGATCTTCCTGAATGCTCCCTGCCATGATTATCATCACAAAGTTCTAATTTCAGATCAGTAAGGATAATTGCTGCTACCACCAAGCCTTCTAGACATTCAACTCATGAGCACTAGAGGGCAGAAAAGAGCACAGTTCAAATTTCAAAGTACTTCAAGAGACTGAAGATGAGCTAGAGATTCAGTCAAAACTTTTGTTTTAATTTTATTTTCTTTTCCTTTTTATATTTTCAGTGTTAAAATGCAAATATTTCATGTTTCCCCTCATGAGGTCCCAGATTTTAATGCTTATACATGCATAGCTAAGTGGAGGAATGTCATTCTCCATGGAAATATAAAAAGACAATTAATGAGGGGAAAAAAAGATCTTAAGGAAAGGCAGAAAAAATGAAAATAAAAAGGGAAAGAAGCAGAAAACACTAAGAGTAATAAAATACAGGTAACACAAAACCAGAAAGGGCTCAAAGGGGGAATCAGGGAGTCAGAAGGAAGGACAGAGAAGGGGGTGCAGCAGTAACGATGATGGTCATCTAGGGTTTTCAGAGTATATTCCCTGGATGGACAGTCATAGGACTGGATGTCAGAGACAGACAGATGCGCCTCAGAGGAGGAGAGAGTAAAGCTTTATCCCTTGGGAATGGGAGATGCCCGAAGGCTGAGAGTTCA